ACGGTCTATGAACGCATAGGTACATTGTGATATGAAATCTTGTGGACGGTCTATGAACGCATAAGTACATTGTGTCNGTTATGAAATCCTGTGGACGGTCTATGAACGCATAGGTACATTGTGATATGAAATCTTGTGGACGGTCTATGAACGCATAAGTACATTGTGTCATGAAATCCATTGTGATATGAAATCCTGTGGACGGTCTATGAAACATATAGGTGCATTGTGTATAAGAGGTATAGATATACGATATGAATAGACACTATGGACGGTCTATGAAACGCATAAGTACATAATATGATATGTGAACACTAAGGACGGTCTAATGAGACACATTATTAATGCAGACAATAGGTGCCCTATTTTTGTTGTCCTTGTTTGTACAGGTTGTTTCAATTACATTATATTATGTGTTCCATGTATAGATCATATGGGCATTCTATTTTGAAAGAGGATTTGTAGCTATACATACTAGTGCTATTTGACAGTACTAACGTCCCTTTTGCCGGGGGAGCTGCTTCTTTAATGGATGCAGGTGGTTCTACAATAGGTGGCATTGATCAGTGATAGCAGTCCACTCCTTTCAGCCAATTTGGTGAGCCCCACTTCATTTCGGGGTCATGTATCTTTTATTTCTCATGTACTTTTTGGTTGAGGTATAGCCGGGGCCTTGTTGCCGGCATTTCCATATTACTCTTCAGTTTTACTTAGAGGCTCCGTAGACAGGTTGTGGGTGGTATTTGATGTTGGGAATTGGATTAGAACTGTTGGTATTTGGCAACATATTTTTCATTAAATCTATAATCTCGGACTATTTTGGGAATATTGAATGATGTTGTTAATGGGAATGAAATGGAAGCGGTTAATGAAATCTCTTAAGTACTTGATTAACGAAGTATATCGCCTCTTTATTCATGAACGAATTTGGATAGAATGAAATCTAACGGGCTTGCTCAGTCAGGTTTACTCGGTTGAGCGCCAGTCGCGCTCCTCGATTTTGGGGCATGACAACAACTTTGTTCTTCCCTTGTCTTGCACCATCAGTTGGTGCTCCACACTCCTCAGGTTCCTTGCCGGTTGGCACAGCTATTTGTCCTTGCTGCTGGTGGGCTACGACTATTGCTCATAGTTTGCTTAGTGTAGGGCAAAATTGAGCAGCATGAGAAGGGTCTCCGCAAAGGTAGCAAACATCCCGTTGAGTACTTCCTTTCCTCTTCTCATCATAATTCTTGCGGAAGTGGGAAGAGTAGTTGCAGTTGCATCTGTTCTAGTTGTTCTGATTGGGAACAAATTTGCCTTTACCTCGGTGGGTGTCCATCTTTGGAGCAGCAGAAGCTTGGCTCCGATTGTTATTTCCCTTTGACGCTTCGGTGCTGAAATCTGACAATGATTCAGCAATTACAATAGCCTCATCGACGGTGTCGATCTGTCGCCTTTGTAATTCTTGTTTGGCCCAATTCTGCAGGCCATCCAATAAACTGAACAATAGATACTCACTGATCAAGTTGGGAATCTGAAGGGTGAGTGTGGTGAACCCCTTCACGTACTCACGGATGAAGGATGTTTTCTTGAGATCGCTCAACTTTCGGTGAGCTTTGTGCGGGGTAAAACTTCCGTTTTAGCTCCTCTTTGAACTGCTTCCACATGTCAATGGAGCATGTTCCTTTCTCCATATCTGCCTTCTTCCTATGCCACCACAGTATGGCGGTCTCAGTGAAATACATAGCTGCCGTTCGGATCTTGGCAACATCGTTGGCTATGCTCATATGTTCAAAATAAGTATCTAGTTGCCACAAGAAATTTTCCACGTCTTGAGCGCTTCTTTCACCCCGAAAATATTTGGGTTTAGGAGCCTCAATACGTGTTTCTAGGACAGTGACGGGACCATGCCCGCTGGCTCCTGTGGTCTCCTCTATATGCAATTTTAATGCCTCAACTTCTGCCTGTAGGGCGGACAAAGCCTCAGTGAGCTTGAGTTCAAGGTTGGTTAGCCCTTCATCTTGCTCCTGAATATTACCTTTAACTTCGCCAAGTCCATCAAGGGCAACTGAATCAAGGGAACAGATATTGTTTTCGGCGGCGAAAATACGACGGTGAAAAGCCGTCAGACCATTTTCTACCATAACAACCCTCTCATCGAGAGTTCTAGTTTCGGAAGTTTCAGGTTCCACGTAGGGTAGCAACTCACCATCAGCAGGAGATGCATCTCTGGCCCTACTTTTGTCACGCTTTCGGCCCATACCTCTCTGTGCTTCTGGGTTTTCTTCAATGTGGGTTTATTCTATGTTGCGATGTGAGTTCTTAGCCATGCAAGAACCTAGGCTTTGATACCAATTGTCACAGAACCATTTTTCTTGAGGGTTCTGTGAGGACAACGAAGTTAGCTTGACTGCTACTTAGCTTCAGTCCTAAACAATAAATAGCACAACTGTGCTGAAGCGATGGCAATCACACGAAACAAGCAATAAAGCTATGAAAGAAAGAGACCAAGATTTGGGAGGCAAATGCACTTTTCTGTTGTATTATCAAATATTTGCTAATTACAAAGAATGAGTCTAATGACTATTTATAGAAATCAAAATGGCTATACAAAGGGGGTGATTGGCAGGGCTGGCAAGGCTGTCCAGCAGCCTGGTGCATTCCAGCTTGGCAAGCTGCCTGGTGCTTTACAACATGGCAAAGCTGAAAAAGCAGCCTAGAGGGATCCTGCTGCAACCATGGCCAAGAATGTCAAAGATGCTCTCCCACTTTCGGCTGCTTATCCCTTGGTCTGCTGACTTTCTGCCAAAGGTACCTTTTGATGGCATCTCATGATTTCTGTGGGGCCCCAAGTGTTTTCCCATTGATGGTTGTCCGAGATTTGGGCTCGGATAAGCCACGCCGTCACTGGAATTGCGAAAAATTAATAGGTGTGACGGTGGGGCGGTGCAGTTATGCTCTATTCGATTCTAAGAACCGAAGCCAGGCTCCTCCTCTATACCTAAGTATTATCTCTATCCACCGACTGTCTGGGCAGAATTTGATATCCTGATTCAAGTGTACCTGTAAGCTGTAACATAATATTCTATGAAGTTTGCATCTTCTTTCATAGATATTTATGTCAAGGTGAAAGACACGCTTATGTTCCCTTCTTCCACACTTATTGACAGGGGCGTAAGCAGGAATTTTTATAAGTAGTGTCAAAATTTATAGAAAAACAACAACAATAACAACAACCCAATATAATCTCAATAGTGGGGTCTGGGGAGGGTATATCGGTAGAGTGTACACAGACCTTACCTTTACCTTCAAGAAGGCAGAGAGATTGTTTCCGAAATTTATAGAAAAACGAGAATAAATAATTTTAATTATCATACTTCTAGCCAAGAAATAGTCTTAGTAGAAGCTTTCTCAAATATTTTCAAAAATACATGCTATGTGAGATTTGAACCTTTGACCTCTTAGAGCAAAAAAAGTCATATAAATATGCCAAGAGACAATTTGTGTTGAGTGTTGTCCTTTTTTTCTACTTGGTCATTTTTACACAGTATTAATATATATTTAGTAAAATATTTCGACGAAGCGGTATCATGTGATACCACTTTATTGAATGTGCATCCGCCCCTGCTTAGTGAGATCTATATGTTCCGATTAACCATGTCACCCGTTCCTGTTTTACAAAAAGTTGACTATCCCCACCCAACGAGAAATTATAACAATGAGTGACAAGTAGCTGTCTGTCCCCACACTTAGTGATGTGTTGTTTTTGAGAGAATACTATAAATATACAAAACTCAGGTATAAAATGCAGTTTAAGGATAAAGCCTAATGGAAAGAATAGACGGAAGTCCTTTTTTTTTGGTAATTAACTTTCATTTGGATTAATCACCAAAGATGATACTTTACAATTCCATAGTCAAGCAAACTCAGCTGACTATCTCAAAAGAAGTAAACACTACCACAAACCTAATTACATATTACTACTGATCTACTCCTCTATAAGAAATTGTTGTATATGATTCTTAGCTCGAGCCGCTACTCTAATATTGCAAATATATGCTATTTCTCTTGCCAAAACAGCACTGTCACGATATCTTTGCTCAAATGTACGTGTGTTCCTTTCAATCCATAGTGCATATGAGGTTTCAACATAGATCATTCTGAAAGATATAGGATCTCCTTGTCAAAGACCCTTAGCAGCATTGAAAGGCTCAGTAGTTTCTCCATTCACAAGAATTTTTGAAGGTCAATCTTTATCATACACCTAGGGGATATCTGAGCTCTAGTATAGGATTTGACTAGTTCATGAGCTAGAATTACATTGTCTGCAATCTTTCTGCCAGGGATGAAACCAGCTTGAGCTTCACAAATTATGGTTGGCATGACTTTCTGCAATCTAGAAGCCAAGATCTTAGAGATCATCTTATATAGAACTGAACAACAGGCTATTGGTCTATACTCTTTGACTGTGGCAGGTTTGGTCACTTTAGGAACTAATGTGATAGTGGAACAATTGATTGCCTAATAGATCTTTCCAGTTGAGAAGAACTCCTTTATAGCCTCTGTAATTTGAATGTTGATAATGCCCCAAGCGTTTTAGAAAACTGCATAAAATCTATCAATACCTGGTGCTTTATCATCACCAATAGCTTTAAGACTTTCAGCAATCTCTTGGTCAGTTACCTATGCACACAAATCCATCCTTTGCTGATGAGACAATGTAGGACCATTCTTCATGTATGATCTGTTTATGGCAGGTAAGGAATTAGCAGTTGATCCCATTAAACTCTTGTAGAAATCCATGATCTCGTTTTTGATAGATGCAGGGTCAGTCAACTTGTCTTCTAGTAATGTTGTGATTTCTGTAATCTGCTTCCTTTGAGTTCTATCCTTCATTACTGCTGTGAAGTATTTTGAGTTGGAATCTCCAAGCTGTATCCATCTTTCTCTAGCCTTCTGTTGTAGAACACTCTCCTCAATTAAGGACCACTTCTCAAGATTGATTAGTGTTTCCTTCTCCATATCTAACAAAGCATCAGTACAAGTTATTGATATCTGCTCTTGAATGGTCCTCAGCTCTAGTCTAGCCTTTTCAATTCTTTGAGTGATGCCTCTGAATTCCCTAGAATTCAAAGCTTTCAGAGCAGGTTTCAAATCTTTCAACTTTATCCATACTGATTTCAAAGTTTCATGAGTATTGTGAGAATTCCATATGTTTGCCACTATTTGAGAAAAGTCTTCATGTGCTGCCCATATGTTGAAAAATCTAAAGGGTACTCTACCAGTCCATGTTGAAGATGATAATGTTAACAACATAGGAATATGATCTGATATTTGAGGCAAATCATAGTTAGTTTCTACATGGCCCCAGGACATCATCCATTCATAGTTACCAAAAACTCTATCCAGTCTACTGATGACCCTATCTACACCAGGTTGTTTATTTGTCCATGTATAATAGTCATCCTTCCAAGGTAGTTCTGTCAATGTTGTTTGTTGAAGACAAGTAGCAAATTCTTGAATCTCTGAACAGTTTACTGGGTTACATGATAGTCTGTCCTTTGGATATAGTACTGTATTGAAATCTCCTGCTATTAGCCATGGAACTGTTATACTTACTGATAGTAGTTGTAGGTTATCCCATAGAGCTCTTCTTTGTTCTATCTCATTATAGCCATAAACTACAGCGAGTAAGCAGTCTATATCTCCCCTTCTACTTTTCACCTGACAATGTATCATTTGAGCATCATCTTTAAGACTAGTGACAATGAAATGATTAGTATCCCACAACAACCAAATCCTTCCATTCTTAGCATCCTTATAATTTGTCAGAACATTCCATCCAGGAACAATAGCTTTTGAAATCCTTTGAGCATTCCCTTCCTTCGCTTTAGTTTCTACAAAACCTACTAACTTTATTTTGTTGCTCCTAAAATATTCCCTAACCTCCTTCTGTTTATACCTTTTATTTACACCCCTTATATTCCAGAACAACCAATTCATTACTATTGATTGCTACTTCCACCTCTATCACCAGGTGGAATGTGTACTTCATATCTACTTATAGATACTGCCTCAAACCTATTTCTCACTGGGATGGGAGACAAAGGAGGGAAGTTGATGAGGTTAAGTTCAGGACTTTGAACTGCTTTGCCTTTATCATCCTGTTTCTCAACTACAGGCACCAAGTTTTGCTGAGTATTGCTCTCCTTAGGTTCGGGTATCTGTGTTGCTCTTCTATGAACTTCAGCTTCCAGATTGGTGATAACTTGTTGTTGAGTCTCAGATGAGGATGTATTTAGTGGTTCAGATGCATTAGGTATAGGAACTTTAGTTCTCCATTCCTGTATGATTACTTTATTACTCCTTACTTTCTTAGGCTGGATTGGCTGCTGCATCATAGGTCTTACTTGATTGGAACACTCGTGTCCCACAACTAAGCATTTGTCACAATAGGCAGGTTTCTAGTCATAGGTAACAACTTGCATAAACTTCTTTCCAGTTGGATCCATAACCATAACTTCAGTTGGCAGCTCTGTAGTAACATTAACCTCAATAAGCATTCGAGCAAAGGATACTCGAGTCTGGTTAGTGGTGCACTCATCAGTAAAAATAGGTTTCCCAATCACACAAACAATTCTACTGAGTGAGCCAACTCCCCAACAAGACATAGGCAACTTAGAAAATTTGACCCACAATGGAATAACAGTAGGAAATTCTTCAGTGAAATTAAAGTCAGGGGTCCATGGTTTTAGAATGATAGGCTTGTTGGCTATTGAATAAGGGCCATCACATAGTATTTCATGAACATCTTCAATAGTTTGAAATCTAATTATGTAATAGCCTTCATCATGGTAGAACAGATCAGGCTCAACAACATATGACTGGTGTAAATTAATGTATCTCTTCATCGCATTATACCCTAGTCCATTTCCTAAAATATATGCAATCAATGCACACCTCCATTTGTTCTCTTCCGCTTCTACCTCTGATTTGTCTAATTGAACCATAGGCTGACCATCTACAATTTGCGGTGGGATATAGGAAAGTGACATACCATTTGTAGCGAATCTATTCTTCTGGAACAAAGTTGCCCATGGAGCTTTAGGTTCAGCTTCACTTGCTCTTACCACCTCTGTCTTTGCTGATTTCTCCGACGAATTTACTTGATTTTGAGCTGGCTTGAGCATATTTACTGTTCCATTGGCTGGTATCGTCAAAGTAGCTTCTACAGAACCAACTAACACTGGCGAAGTTAGATCTAGTCTCTTAGAGATGTTAGGATGGCTCGATATAGAACCAAATTCACATGCAATACCTCCCTTAGCTGGATCCGTAGTTTGAGTTATTGATGGTGGAGTAGCTTCTGGTGCTGCTTTCTCCATCAATGGCTGATTTTCAGTTATCATCGAGCTTACAAGAGTAGTTAATGGGTATTTACGAGGTCGACCCCATCCTCTGCCTCTCCCTTTCTCCATGGCTACACAAGCGGCGTACGTTTAACTAAGGTGCGCCGAGAGCATTACGAAGAAGGAGAGTAACCATTCCGTTTATGACTTTGACGGAAGTCCTTATTATACATGCCATAAGTAGCATATGCAACAAATGCAATTTATAAGTCGAATATGTCAAATTACACTTGCCTAATGCGATTTATAAGTCACATGTAATAAACTTATGTGTGCTTAGAAACACCTAAATTTTTCCTATTTTAGATTCCTATTTGGATTCTTATTCATTACACATAAATATTTTTTATCAAAATTTTAGCTCTTCATTTATGATTGTGCAATAGAGAATGACTTTTAAAAAAAGTTTCTCCTATGCAGAGCAAATGAGATATTCTTCAATATATCACATATTTATTAAAGGTCTAAAAACTCCAACAAGTATTATTGAATATACATATAGAGTCATGAATTTTTATATTTATGAAAAGAAAATCGATAACCATTAATCATCTAAGGGGTTAACTTCCAAGGAAAAACTATTTTTCGTATAAGTCAGTCCCTAACGAAGAATTATAAATGAAAAGTTGAATTTTTAAAAAAGAAAATTTTATGTAATTACAAGAAGTCCAAAATGGGATATGGAGAATGGAGAAACGGAGACATAAATGGAATTAGACAAATGTGGCTTATAAATTGCATTCAATGGATAAGTCGTATAAATACGCGCCGAAAGTCTGGGAAATAAATTCAGAAAAAAGAGAAATGGCTAGTGAGGGAGTCCGGAACCAAAATATGGTTCTTTTGGACTCAAACGACCTAAATGTGTGAAAAAAATATAGTGACCAAAATATGTATAACGCCCTTTTAAAGGGCGCTATACCTTAACAGTCGTTTGCCCGTTAAGGTATAGCGCCCTTTAAAAGGGTGTTATACTTGAATTTGAAAAGACGGGCAAGTATATCACCATTTATTAAGGCACTATACATATTTTGTGGGCCCACAAATAATTTTTCTGGGCTTAACTGACATAACAATAATTCAATTGGGTATAGCGCCCTTATTTAAGGCGCTATACCTAAAACAATTGTACCCCGGACTGATTTTTTGCCCTATTTAAGGAGGTTAAGAATTTTTTAAAAATCCATTCATATATATTCTCAAGTCTTCTAAAATATTTCTTCGTTAAATTATTTTGCATTTTGTCATAATGTCTGAAGAGCGAAAATTAATGGTTTCATTATATTGGGTGGGGTGGGGGTGGTGAGGTTGTGGTGGCGAATAACTCAGTAACCTATAGTTTATCTTCACAATGTCATGTTAAGTTTCCACTTACAATGGAGTACGATAAATTGGTATCGTTGTTATGTAAAAAAATGAGTATGAGCAAACGTTCGGTGAACCTTAACCGGAAGATATTCATATTCTGTCACTTTGCAAGGGGTTGCTTGTTATGCTGAGTTTAACATCGAGAACGATGAAACTCTGAGAGATATTTTGAGGACTCCGGATGAATACCGGGAATTTCTTGTGATAAAAATGTTAGAAATGTACGTCAAAATTGAAGACGTTCGTAATAATGAGATTGCGCAAAGCAGAGATATCCCTCAGTTATCGGGTGGTTATTTTGGAGCAGTTTTAGCCGAACAGGTTCCGGCTGAAAGAGTTTGACCTAATCTAAACTTATCTCCATGGACGAATGAGGAACGAGGAAATAATTTCCCTCGTAGTTTACATAATGCACAAGACTAGTGGTAAACTTCAATTTTTTCTTGTGTTAAGATGTTTATTTTTAATGTATTGAATTTGTATTAACACTCATATATTCCACAGGGGGAATATGCCTAGTTATGGTGTGTTGGATCATTGTGGTCCATCCAGGAGTCATCACTAACAGGATAATGTCCATCATGGGATGTCAACACATTACGATTTGTAAGTGAAGTGATATAGCTATTCGTAAAGTATTTACCAATTTTAGTAACTCATTATTTTGTTGGTTGTGCAGTGAAAACGAGCATCCTGAAGGTCATGTCCTTACTCAATTGCCCGAAGATGACATATTTAATCGGGATCTGGCAGATGCACAGAGTCAGGAAGAGAATAGTGATTATGACAACAATGCCGATGAGTCTGGAGATGACACACCCTTCCCTGATGAGGGTGATGATGAGGAGGAAGAGAATGTTGGACCTGATTTGACGAGGGAGCATGCTCCACCCCCGTTAGACCAAGAGTGTACGAATCCCGCGTGCCGTTTCATTCAAGGGAGATTCCCTACCTTAATCATTTACCAAGTATGCCGGATGTGGATTCCCTCACAAGGGATACTGACAAATTTTGGACAGCAATGTGGGATGGATCTAGAGCAATGGTGCTGTCAAAGTGCATGCTTTTTCCCAATATAACGCGCCTAACCAGGGCGGTGCTAATGTCAACGTAAAAGAGTATCGTGAGATCACGGTACGCGAGTCATCTCCAGATGTATACAAGGTAGTCTACCATAGATGGTTTACTGGTTGTAATTGGATGCTGCGTGCGAGGAAGAAGAAAATAAATATATGGGTTGTGGGTAAATACATTGACACCCACAATTGTGAAATGGACACATTCAGTGGGAATCATTTTAACTTGAATGCTAACTTGATTTCTCTTCTCTTGATTCCACACATTGAAGCGTCCATAAGGTACAAGATCAAAAAGTGTATAACATCCATCCACCAGGAATATGGGTGCACCATTACCAAAAGAAAGGCATTTCTCGGGCGCAAACGTGCGTTTGAAATTGTTTATGGTAACTGGGATAAGTCCTTTACATCTTTACCCAAGTACATGGTTACATTGCAACACTTTAACCCCGAGACTGTTGTTGAATGGAAGCTTGAGCGGAGTCCGGGAATACCAGAACATATATTCAAATGTGTATTCTGGGCATTTAAACCAGCAATTGATGGTTTTCTGCATTGCCAGCCGGTATTATCCATAGAAGGCACTCACGTCTATGGAAAGTATGATATTAAGCTGTTGATCGTCGTTACAGTAGATGCTAATAGAAGTATATTTCCCTTAGATTTTGCTATTTATACCAATGAAAGCCAAGGGACGTGGACACTATTTTTGAACCACTTGAAAGAGCAAGTTATCAAACAGGTTCAGGTATTTGTTTAATATCTGATCGGCATGGTGGTATTTTAAGTTCTGTACAGAATTTGCATGCATGGCAAGAACCGTATGCCTACCACCGTTACTATGTGAGGCACCTGAAGGCCAATTTCCAGAAGGCATATCCCAACAAGGATTTGCATGATTTAATGTGGATGGCTGCAATAGATCACCAAGAATGTAAATTCAGGAGACGCATGGAATCTATCAGGAAGGAAGACGAGGGAGCCTATCGTTGGTTGATGCGACATGAGCTTGACAAGTGAACTTTGCATGTGGATGGTGGCAGAAGATGGGGAATTCTGACTACAAATATGTTAGAGTCTTTCAACGGGTTATTGAAGTCTGCACGAGGATTGCCTGTCACTGCCATGGTGCGGATGTTATTCAAGC